TGTGATGCCCCGTATTTTGATGATTGTGGATATTGTTCTAGCTCATTTCATGGAGTCCTTTTTTTTTGTATAATTTATGAAATTTTCTTTTTTTTTGTGGATATTGTCTCAATTCTTTCAGAAAATGTTGTATTCATCATTTAATGTATGTATTAAGTTGCTTTCAGTACGTTGCTATGTATAATCGTTGTGTATTTATCATTAGTATTTGATCCATCCATTTACTTGCTTCAGTTATATAATTTATAGTTTGATTTTTCAGCTATGCAGCTAGCATCTTTACTACTATTTGCTTTGACCAATCGTGCATTGACCCGCGGTCAGTTTTTGGCGATCCTGACAAAAACTGATCAGGAAACTGCCCATGTATGAAGCATGTTTTGTCTCCTGAAAGGATTACCAGCTCAGTGATTCTCTCAACAGAACCACTTGACAAGGCATTAGGCTGCTTTCACATGTGTTGGTTTTGTGTTCTGAGCCTTATATCGAATGTTACCAGTATTAAACCACGATGAAATATACTGCCAATCAGGAACGCTAAAGCAAAAAAAAAGATACATCGAACACACACACACACACACACACACAGAAGCATATATATACATACGTCCATACACACACCCAAACACATACACAGACAACCCCGTAACAATATGCGTTTTGTGCAGCTATTGCACAGCACAAAACAGATAGAAGTTGAGGGAGGGGAGAAGGGGAAGGGAAGAGGGTAATTTCAGATAATTAAGAATTACTGATAAATGACATTGGAAAAAAATTTTGAATAGGAAATTACGAGATGGTTCCTTAGGACCTACAAATATAGTAGAATTCGCAAAATTTCGGAACAATCAAACTATCTACAAAATTAGAAAATGCGGGAAATCATGGTGGTTAATGGATGCTGGGCTGCTAATAACTGTGATAATTTCGATAGCCTTGTACGAAATGCTCTCGCAATTTGCTACGTTGTGAATTTTTCGACATTCCTATAACACTTGATCTTTTGTGATAAGCCACTGATAAAGATTGCAAAAGTGGACACGCATTGCACACAGGTCAGTCAGTAACGGCGATTCTATTTGTGTGAAAATTTGCAAATTACTAATTCCGATTTTCCTGAGTTTTTGCGTCACAGCATTTCACCCTAGTCGTTCGTGGTTTTCACGTACGGGCACATGAAAGTTTTGGCGGGAAAATTGCTAACTCGGCAACCAGAAGAGCTGGAAGGCTGAAATTTCAAGGGTATATTTGCCGCCCGCGTACAACTTAAAGATTTCAAATTCAGTTCCCCCGGTACGCATGGTGTGTTCTCGCGTTAACTGATGATTGCATCTAAACTAAAAATTCCAAGAGATTATTCAGTAGACTTAAAATACTCTGTTTTTTTTTTAAATCTTCTGTTCTCTGTGGTCATCTTTGTTTGCCTTCCGTGGTCATTCAGTTAGTTGTGGTTAGTTTTGGGTGCTTTCAATGCTCCGAATTCAAATATTGGATGGGGACGGGCATGAAACAAGTACTATTGCCCTGCGTTTAGTCAAAATCGATTGTTCCGCTCGGCCACTGGGACATTCAGTCTCTCTACGATTCGTTCATTTTTTTCGATGGTAAATTTGGTACTGGCATTACCGCATGGAGTCAGACCCGCTATCAGCTTGCTTGTAAGCGAACCGCGGGGAAAGGGGACCATCAAGAGCCATCTTTTCAGATGGTAACTGGTACTATGGACATCTGGTACAACTCGGACTACTTCTGAATGCCTTCGCCTGTCGTAGTGACATAGGACGGA